CGGAATAGGCTCCTGGGAATGTATATTCTTACAAAATAGGCAATAATTGTCTGTAAAGTAGGTTTTATACTACTTTTTATTGACGCAACAGGGCTTAGAGGCCTACTCTAAACTCAAAAGGGGTACAATAGACCCTACGGTTGCAGTGCCATATCCTCTAACAATAATAATAATAAATATAAAAATTATTTCCAAAACGACCACTGATTATTGGTATTTCATCTAAATCGAATCAGCTAAATGATCACCCAAAAATAATATTAGAATTTTTTTAAAAAATTATATACTCGGTATATAATATCGCGTTATTTTAAAAATTTACTGTCCATTCCAGAAAATAATTGTAATTAACATATAATCAGACAATCATTCAACTATGTTATTATGCTTAATACACTGTTTTTATTTTTATTTAATAATTTCCTTGAATATCCTGACTAGATTACCTGAAATGCCAAAAGGAGTAACTGTGTAAATCAAAAGCAGTAATTAATGTAATCTACTTCAACTCCAATTGTTGTAATATTTCGCTTGTAATTTATTCTCACGTTAAAATGTTGCAAAACACTTTATAAACAAAATTCTGTAATTTAATTTAATGCTCATTATACATTATTAATTTAATTTGCAATGCTCAGTTTTGCTTAAACTTTCTTGTTGCCAAAGGCAGATTGAAACTTATACATTGTTGTTTTGAACATTTGTGGATGACTCGATTCCGTTAAAGGTTCACATAATTACACGCGAATCCGCGAATAACAACTACAACAACAACAGCAAGAGTCTTGTGATTGCCACAAACATTTTTATCCGGGATATTAATAGTTTACCCAAAGGCTTAACGAACTTCTAAGAAGAGTTTTCAGGCCGCCAGGCAGGCTTCCTTATTAATTATCAAACAAGATTGAACAACTGCATGTGTCCAAAAAATATGGGCAACTTCTTAAGAGTATCTGATTAAAATTAATTTTCGAAGTAAAAAGTGAAAGTATAAATTTCCTGAAATGAAAACTTCCACTACTCATCCCAACTAATAATAATTAAATTTTGTAGTTTAAAAACCTAAAAACATATTTAAAAAGCGATTGGTATAATTTTTATTTAATTTCTTAAGTATTTTTCTATTTTTTAAGAGTTATATTTTTAAGAGACATATTTTTATTTTATTTTGGGTTCGTCACATACTCAACGTCTTCACACGCTGAAGAAGATTTAGTTGTTAAGGCTTCTTGACCGAACTCATTATGAATTTTAAGTAACCACATACCGTACTCTTCAATTTTATCTTGCAATGAAGAAACTGAAGTGATTGATATATTTTATGTTTCCAAAAAGCATAAATTAGTTGAGGTAAATATTTATGAAGCGTTTAAGTATATGCGTTTCCTGTGTATTGAAGAATTGTCATTCGCCTGACAAATTATTCGCAGGTGCCAATCCGTTGGAAGTTGTATAGTGTCTCTGATGTGAGCCAAGCTTGACAATATCTTCCGCACGTGCTTAGCAATAAGTGACGCATTTCTTACCAGCAAAATTATGAGAAAATGATCGTTTGTATTTCAGAGATATATTTTTAAAATTTTTTGCTAAAATGCTGTCTTTCCCATTTAATTACTTAAAACTATTATAACTCAACAGAGTATCAGAAAGCACACCATAAATTATTTGGAATAGAATTAAAAACATTATTAGCATTACTGGTATAAGGTACTAGATTTTAATTAATAAACTTCAGTATTTATAGATTTTTTTTTTGTATCTCCAATATAACTCTCTGAAAATTGCACTAAATTTATGATTATTCGTATACACGGTAAACATTTCACAATAAGAAATATACAAGTTCGTAAAAAAACAATATTATTAATATTTTTTTTAAAGTATTTTAATTTTTTCTAAATTAGTTTAATTAAAAATTTCTATTTAGCATTTATTTCTTATAACTTAGAACTTATATTGAAGTCAGAGTTTTTACATCATTTTTCTACTATATTTTAAACTCGAATATTTAAATTTTTGGTACAAAAAAATAAATGGAAAAAGTGAAAAGAAAAATGTGGTTGGTCTTTAGGAACGAGTACTCGCATTAAGAACTTTAGTAACTAATAGTTATAAATACGCACTTAAAAAAAAATCAATAATAATAAACATAATAATAATAATAATAAAATAATAATAATAAAAATGGCGTACTCCGTTCTATCTTCTTAAATCCATGTAGACTTTACGTGCATTTGCAGACTCTTCTTTAAGAAGACAAGTTTACGTCAGTCTGCATAATTCAGTTAAATATTAGTATTAGCACAGTTTTAGTATACCTTTATTTCAATGTAATCACCCTAATTCGCATGGGATTGGACAGCGATCAATACAGTACAATCATATCATATTGTTACAAAAAGTCCAGTCAATATTTAAACATATACCATATATGTTCGATAGTTCTGAATTTTAAGTTTTACTGAATTTATTAATTTTTTTGCACGAATTAAACATGCACACCCATTTAAGAACAGATTTCAATAAAAACAGTTTTAATTAATCCAATTTATCAGTGTAGCTCAATTTTGGAAGAATATTGGAGTTTATTTTTTTGCGGGTAGGTGAAAAATATAAAAGCCACAATATGTGACTTGAACCCACTAAAATCAACTCTTTGGAATGAATGGAGAAAAATTTCACAGAAATGTAGAGACTTCATTCAAGTAATTAGGGGAGAGAGATATGAGCAGGAGCATATATCTTTGGATTCCAAGTAATAGATGCTTTAAAACGTCCTATTATTACTATACTTGCTGTGGGTATTAAATTAATTATTCCGGATTAAAACACAAAAGTTTTAGCTAAAACTAAAAGATTTATTTGTTTTTCATTAAACTTATATTTCAATTTCTTAAATCTTCTTTAATACTTTTTCCATGTCAATTTTCCGTCTGGATTTAGGTCCAGATATTTGATACGTTCGTTTTATGAATTAAAATTGTATTTGATTTAATTTTCTGACAAGTTTTTTTTCCACTTTACGTAAATTTTGTGTGAATAATATTCTATACATTTATTTTAATTCGACACTTCGTCAACTATCTTTCAAAAATATTTTAGTGGGCGGTTAAATGGACTGCAGCAACTTGAGATCAATAATAAAGAAGTGCTGTGTCGTCTACAAATGTTTAAATAGATGTATTGGAATGAGCTGGGTAATTGGGCACATAATTTGTTTAACTAAGCTTGACTTGTTAAAAACCAACCATCATATCTTATATTTTGAATATAAAATATTGTTATATTAGGACAATTTGATTGGCTTCCATTGCTTAGATCTAATAACTAGCGCCTAACTTTTATTCGGTAATGACTCAAACTATCTGTTAAGTCGTCTCAATATGTTATTAATATTTCTGTCATTCAATATTTCTAAAAGTTTGATACTAATTGTATTGTATGTATATTTATATGTCAGATATCCTTTATTATTGCTTAGTATATTCTTTTTAAATTTAATTGGAATATATTTCTAAAAAATTTTGTCGTTAACTATATTATATCATCTCTTACTATGTACCCATAAAGTTATTTACATATATTATTTATACTTTAATTTGACCTAATAAAAAAATATAAGACACTCAGATATGATCTTTTATTATACAAATATATTGCGTAAAACTATTATGAATAAAATTAACTTGGTTTACAAACAATTAAACATCTACTGAAAGGTATTGAATTGAGTATTTACACTCAACTTTTGACCTTTGATGAATCCACTGCACACTTTGTGCCGAACAACCCTCATGTTCTAGGAACATCTGCCTCTATACTATACTACTTTTCTTCACAATAGACAATAACTCATCAACGAATCAACTTAGTCTGACTATACCTTGTAATATTACTACTGATCATACTCAACTATAAATTTTAGTTAACATTTAAAACGATAATCGTCGAATTAAAAAAAATATGTTCTTCGATATCTCTTACAGTATTTGGGTGTGACTTACTTAATAAAATAATTATGCCTATAGGTACAAAAATACTCTTAAATACTGCTTTAAACTATTTTGAGGTACTGAAGTGTGAATTTAATAGTTTCATTACCAAAGGTCTTATCTTTAAATATGTTAATCTTATTTAAAGAGTTCTATGTTGGGGACTTTTATGTTGGTCGTAACTCGTGTTTATTGAACTAATAATAGTTATCTTTAGATGAGGGGCACGAGGTGGTCACTCGTTGGTGGGCTTTAAAAAACGTTGGTTTCCTAATAAGTAATTTAAATGGTTAGAAGAAAATAATATGAGAAATTGTAACTAACTTTCAGATAATGTAAGTATATAATACATATGTAATAAATCTTCTTAATATTGTTTTAGAATTTATTTTTTATTTATATAAACACAATGTTAAGTCTAAATTTATTATTAAATTTAATTAAATTCAATTAGAATGGAACAAAAGTATAACCTAAGAACTAGTTGGGAATATTCAACTCTATTGTGGTATTTTTTTTTAAATTCTATGCTTTAACAATATTGAATGGTGATCATTCGGAGAAGAAAGTCTTATTATAATAATGCATATAAATTTGTCAAATATTGTGAAAAACCATATTTATTTAATCAATTTTAATTAATAGGCCCATCAATTTGTTATTTTTATCTGTCTGCATAAGCTGAAGATTCGATTATATAAAATACTGAACAATTGGTTCACACAAGAACAACCAGATAAGTTAATATATAGACAGTAAAAGTCCAGCACCAATACTAATAAATTTGAATATACCCTTTTAGAGATATAGAAAATTTTTTATGGCATAATATTTTTTTCAAATAGAATTTCATTTGATATCTTGTATCTTGGTGAATATAGAAAATAGACTACTTTAAAATATTAACAAAAGGAAATATGTGCAGTATACAATACTAAAGATCATTTGAACGAAAACTTTTGTAATATTATTTTATTTTACATATAATATATTACATATAATATTTCATACATAATATCTAATTCATACATGAAAACAGATTAAACAAAATTCTAAGTATTTTATACAAAGATCTGCCAAAAAATATCTTATTAATTTAGTTTCAACATGCTCACATCTGTACCAGCATTTAGTACAATATGCTCTGGTGTCATAGGTGCACATAGTGGTATCCAAATCTTTTTCAAGCCTGCATCATTGCGAGCAGATTGCAAAGCTTCTTGTAAAGCAAAAGCAACAGCAATCGCTAAACAAATTGCTGGCTCTCCAGTAGCTGCAACACAAAAATAAATGTATGATATATCTATGTTATTACCAAATCTTTGAATCATTTCGAACCTTTAGATCTCATGAAACCTGCCGGATTTGAGCTTTGTGGCAACATTTCAACCCTAAAATCGATTGGAATATCCTTGGCACCAGGTGGTTTATAATTCCAAGTGCGATTGGTTTTCAGTTCACCAGTAACCTTATCAACCACAATTTTTTCTGTAGTCCAATAACCCAAGCCCATCATAAATGCACCTTCAATTTGTCCAATATCAACGCTAGGATTTAAACTCTCGCCGGCATCTTCAAGTATATCCACACGATTTATTAAATAGTTGCCAGTTAAAATATCGACTTCGACTTCCGTAAGACAAAGCGCACATACAGTATATGGTTCCATATCACCTTGCTTCATGTCATCACTGGCTATCATATTAACTTTGCGATTGTAAGCTTCACTTATAATTCCTTGCCAGTCAGAATCTTTTAAGTCTTCCTTAACTGCTTTCAAGCGATCATTCAAGGTGTTGCAACATTTACGCACGGCCTACCAATTAAACAATTATAATAATAGAGCTTATAATAATAATAAAATATATTATAATTTAGTATATTATAAAATATACTATACTTACGAAACAAATCGATTCACTGCCGATCGAACCACCAGTTACCATGGAGTTCGCTCCATTTACTGTGTTACTTCCTTCGATTTTGATCATTTCTACGGGAATTCCTAATACATATGCAGCAACTTGTGCTATTTTCGTATTCATACCCTGACCCATTTCAATACCACCATGTGAGATCACCACAGTACCATCACCGTGATATATAGCGACAGTAGCTGGGAATTGCCCAAAATAACCCATATGATATTCCATAATAGCAATACCCAAACCCTTCTTACGCCAACGATTCTCTGTGTTAAAAATGTTAATTGCATTTTTACGCTCCTTATACTTTGTAGAATCTACAAAACGCGGTAACATTTGACCCATTTTGTGACCTGGTAGTAAATTTTCTGTTCGCACATCAACTGGGTCTGCGCCAGTTTCAAAGGCAATATGTTCTAGAATATTTTCAATCATTGCAATACCTTCCACTGATCCTGGAGCTCGACATGCCGAATTACTGGGTGAGTCGGTAAATACCATGCTGCCATCTAATTTAAAATTATCACTGAACATGTAACAATTTTTAGAGACCAGCTGTGTATGACCAAGTGGAGTTTCATTAGGCAAATAGCCAGCATCTTCAAAGAAAGTGCTGTGTATGCCAACTATTTTGCCAGTATTCTTAACAAAAAATTCATAGTCTGCTTGGAAGGCCCAGCGTTTACCTAAAGTATCCATCATTGATTCTATGCTCTGCACAAAGCGCACTGGTCGGTTTAATTTATAGGCGGCTAAAGCGGCAGCACATGCAACTGGATTGCATCGCGTGCCTTTGCCACCATAACCACCTCCAATACGACGTACCTTAACTTGTATTTCATTGTTCTTCATATTGAGTAAATTGGATAATGACATTTGTATGAGATCCATCCACTGCGACGCTGTGTGCACCTCTAGTGCACCTTCTATTGGCACAACGACAGTGGTTTGTGGTTCCAAGCAGTAATGGTATTGCAAACCCATATCAAGTTTGCCAGTTGCTGTATAATCATAGGGATCATTTATATTCAATTTATTTATTATTGACTTGACGCTGTGTTCAATTCGGTTAGTTGGGTTTTCACTATTGAGTACATCTTTCAAAGTTGGCAACACCTCTTTACTGCCACCAGTGTAAGTCAGTTTTACTAATTCAGCTGCTCGATTGGCCAAAGCATTTGATTCTGCTAGCAGCACGCCAACTGGCTGATTATAAAACATTACCTTGTCGGCAACAAAAAGTTCTTCTTCACGTGGAAAGAAGAAATCATCTAAAGGCACAAATGAATTTTTGCCGGGTATATCCTTTGCTGTGAAGAAAGCTACAACACCAGGTAATTTCATAGCTTCAGAAGTGTCAATATTGGTGATTGTGGCACCAACCTTTTTAGCAGGTACAAATGCGGCCCAAACTTGATTTGGTTGCACGGGTAAGTCATTAGCATAGGTTGCTTCGCCGGATGTTTGTATAAGACCCTCCAACTTTTGAGTAGGCTTGTTAACGGGATAACTTTTTTCAAGAGTTTCGTAGCTCTGCTTGCCACTTGAAACTGGCCTATGTAGTAGGCTGCCACCACTCTTGAGTTCTTTTCTTACAGCATTTGAGGGTGCATGTTGTAAAATAAATTTATAAAGTAAACCATAAGCAAGTTTCTTCCGATATGCTGGGGAAGGTTCCGGAAGCACAACATTTGGTTGAAGCTTTTTATGTAGTTCACTAAAAACTTCATTCAAAACGTTTTGATCAAAAAGATTTTTATCTTTTAGAAGATTCTCAATTGTGTCGGCATGTATAAAATCTTCAGTAATACCACCGAAGCAAATTCTTGCTAAATGTACTTTATAAGTGGGTTTCTCAATTTCAACTAAAAAGGCAGCATTAACATAGGCGTGTGCATTTTGTGCGCGTGGCATGATCTTTAAATTAATTAATTAAATATAAAAAATTTGAACGATTAAATATGAGTATTAGTACCTTATAAGAATCGAATATATAGGAATCTTGAGAATAAGGTTTCAATATAAACGCGGTTATAACCTTCTTTATCATCGGTGTTTTGAGGTACTCAACAAGTGATAAAGTTTTCTGTTCTGTAGCAGTCATATTTACTACAATTTTCACATCCAAAGCCTCGAATACGATGAAAATATCAGAAGGAAACTCCTTGTTCTCATGTTTGATAGCAAAGTTACCTGCCAAAGTACCAGCCTATAGAAAAATGAAAACATTAATATTATATTTAAATTTAATCGGAGTCTAATTAATTATAGATAGATTTATTTGTAGTATAATAATTAGGGAATATAACAAATTATTTTTATATATGTAACTTGATTGGTTAAAAAGATTAAAAAATTTTCTTTAGCAATACATAACTATATAAATAAATCCTTTAACACTTATGATCGCTTAATTATTTAGATTAAATAGTAGAGCTATTCAGACCTAACTCAGTAATTCGGTACTCGGTGAACTATTACGTATAATTTATTTTAGTGTTATAACAAGATACCAAATTACCGACTTCGATCACTAATATTAAAAAGCCTTGTACTAAAGGCTGATTATTAATGGGACTACATATATTAGATTTAAAAATAATTGTAATATATATACATATTCTATCTTTTTAAAAATTTCTACAAATAATATGCGCTCGTAAGAAATAAAATCAATTCAGCTTTGACAGATGCCTTTTGTTTCTTTCCGCCAGAACTCCCAGAACTCTTGCCCTAAAGTCGCAGCTTGACTTATAATTGTTTTCTCCATATGTTGTGTGAACGCCTGCATGTGTATTAGTTGCATTTCTAAGTTTCTACGATGTCAGTTTATAGAAACAAATTAATAAGTAATACTCTAAGAACATAAGTCTAAACCCATTGAAATCGTTATGGAACCATGATAGTGACAAAGCTCCAGTAATAAAATAACTTGAGGTTCGGACACATAAATAATGACATCTAATATTTTTTCTATATATACCCATTTTATAATATATATTTAAATAATATAAATAGAAAGATAGTAAGCTAATTAATAAACTCTTTAATTAATAATGTTAGGTAACAGTAGGTAAGGTACGTACTGGTATGGTACACTTTGGTATGCACTTCTCTGAGATGTATGGGTACTATAAAATAAAAGCTGAGATTTATTATATTTTCAGTTAAAACTATTTCATTCTATGTAAAGAAAAGTATGTATTTTAATTGTGTAAACTATGTCTAGTTCTATCTGTTCGACAAAGTAAAAATCTACTATTGAATCTCCTATGAATGTCGCAATAAGTTTAACAATTCTCTCTATTAGGGGGCTTACAAATAATCTAAAGTAGTTGTGCTATTTTTTGGCTGCATCTATATATTATATGTATATATAATATTAAAATCAAATAAACAATATTTAAACAATTCTAATAGATTGTATTACTTTACAAATATATGTACTAATATATGTATATTGATAAGATAAGTACAATTTCGATTTTTAATTGCTTAAAGAGTCTAAGAACACTTGTAAACTGAGTACCTGTTCTACTTTGGCTTATATCTCAAAAACAGATTTTTATCAGAATCTCAAGACAATCTAATCTTTTTAATGTAAATTATTTGATTAATAATTTGCTACTAAAATTAAATTCTTTTTTCTTCATTCAGTTTATATTATGTTAATACACTGATAAAAAAACATTTTTAAATTATTTAAATAAAAATGTTGGGTGTCTAATAATTTCTTTTATATGAAAACTTCTAGAATACAATAAAATAATTTAGTTTTACCGGAAATTAAAATTTCATTTAAAAATAGTGTTAAATACAATATATAATTATAAAATTAAACATAGTATTATTCTTAAATTTAAACTTTAAAATACACGAGTAAAATATTAATAATAGTAATAATAATTAAAGATTATTGAATAAACATTAAAGATGTATTTATTTATATATTATTTTCAGTTCTTCTACTCACATTTCTGACTGGTACATTGGCAATCCAATCAAAATGTTGCCACAACTGTTTACAGTACTCAAAACCAGATGTTTTGGCAGCTTCTGTGAAAATTTCCATAGCCTCTGTTAAGCTAAGATTACCGCCAAGTGTAAGCGAATCATTATTGAGTGTATATGTCTTAAGTTCAGCTACGCCGTTAACGTCAATGTATGCTTTAATATTATTGTCACGTCTGTAAACACCATGAGCTGTATTACCAGCTACTAAAATGTACTTTTGCTCTTCTAACTGTTGAAAAGCATTAAAAATATCAGCAATAGATTTTGGCCAAAACCATTGACTGCCATCCTCATAAGACAAAGGCTTTTTAACACCATTGCAAGTACCACTGCAGCGTCCACCAGTTTTTGGACATGTTTTCGTTTTTAAATCCTCAATATCTTGGCATTCTGCTGGTACTTCAATATTACTATCGACAGCAAAAGATTTCATAGCATCCAATATAGGACGATAGCCAGTACAGCGACAAATATTGCCACCGAAAGAATTTTCAACTTCTTCCATAGTGACTGTACCATTTTTCGACTGCAGCAGAGCATACATATTCATAACGAAACCTGGTGAACAGTACCCACATTGAGTACCATTCATTTTCGCCAAACGTTGTTGTATGGCATGATAGCCCTCACGTTTGTTGCCAAGGCCTTCAGAAGTTGTTATTTCAAGGTCAGCACAAGTATTAAGCAAGGTCAAACACTGATGTTTAATGAAAAGTATAGTAATTAATAAAGCTTGTGTTTTATTCAATAAATCAACAAAACTAAAACTCACTGAATTCACTGCCCAAGTGTGTACTTCTCCAGTACCAGGATGCTTACCGGTTACGGCACAGACACAAACGCCGCAGCCTCCTTCTTGACACATAAATTTTGTTGCTGTGAGACCGGCATGTTCTCGGATGAAAGTATTCAATGTGATATCCGCCGGTAAGTTGCTAAGATTTACTATATCATTTTATAATAATTATTATTAATATTATTATTATTTTTATGAGATTATTTGATCAAAACAATTAGTTCTTATGCATACCCGTATGGTTGATACCGTTAATCTTAAATGTTGTTGTCATTTTAATGTTTTATACTTTTTTGTTTTTATCAGCTGATAAGTTCTAGAGTCTCTGCGGCCGTACCAACGTCTCGTACAAACGCTCTTGAACAATTAAATAAATTCCAAACAATTTTCCAGTTCCATGCAGCTTTTAATCGAAAATTCAAAACCTAATTTAAGTGATGTTATCTCTATTCACTATCAAATTCTGCTCAAAATTTGACTCAACTATCAAGTGCGAATTCTCTTCCATGTTGTTTGCAGATTGATTGAAACCGGCATAAAACCAACAACAAAATTAACGTTAATTGTTATTTTTTATTTTTGTTTATTTTTCAAATGAGCTCAGCATTTTTTTCCAAAAAAAAAGAACACTTTTTACACATTTTGCTGTGTTTTTTTCTTTCTAAACATAGAAGTCGGTGATGACGACACTCGATAACATTAACTAAAGCAGTGTGTCAGCGAATGTGCAAACTATTAAAAAATATATAAAATAGCAAATAAAAAATATTATTAATGAAAAAAAAATACTAATAAAAATACATTAAAAAAAAAAAAAGAAAAAGAAGAAATAAGGAAACACACACAAAACGAATTGTAAATCGAATTGTAAACGAATTGAAATAAACTAAATAAACTAGCCAGATCAGGTTGCTTCAGTCTCTTCAGTCTCGTATTTGAATGTCCAAATGTTTATGTCTGGCATAGAAAGATAATGTAGGCAAGTAGGCTTGAATGCAAATATAACATATGTCCGCACCATAAAATACGACATTTGTGACCTGCACATCAAGTCAAGTTTAATGAAAAACGTTTAAAATTAATTAATCTTTACTAATAAAAAAAAAACTTGTAATTACTTGTTTTATGGAAGCTTGAGCTCGGATGTTAATTATAAACAAATGATTAGGAGAAAAAAAAAACAATTTAGAAATTTAAATTTAAATTTAGTAGAATTTTTAGTATGACCGTATATGTATATGTATAGCTCCTATAAATCGTATAAATATCGTGCAAAATATGTATTTTAAAAAAATATATATTAAAATATGGTATAGTTCATGTAGTAACCTATCGGTAATGTTTTCACGGCACATAATTTGGTACAATCCAAGATCAATACGAAATAATCTTGTTAAGATAAAAATTCTCAAAACTATAACGTATTCCACTCCGTGCATGCTAGACCGTATTTACAAAACGTTTTTTTTAAATCAAACTAGGGAATATACAAAATATGGTAATATTAGTTTGGCAGCGGTATTATCTGTATATTATATTATCAAAGAGATATGTATTCGCTAAGCTTCATTGGATACGCCAAAGCCACATTTAATTAATTATCAATGTTTTTAGTTACTTTTTTACTAAATTAGCATAAATACGAGTTCAAAATAAAATTGCAAGATTGCATATAAAATTGTTTATTATTGATAAGATTGATATATGATATATAGTTGAAAGTATGTAATATGTAAACATGAATACAAACTACTTAAAACTGTTTTTAAAAATTCTGAATATTTAAGGTTAATTATTTTAATCCCCCACCGATAATATATCTAACCACTGATGATGCCAATATTTTTTATGTACATTTAACAATATTTCTTTCGAAAACCTATATATAAGTGATCAAAATTGACCCTAAAAACGAAAACACTAATTAAGGGTGAACATGTCAACTTCATGCCCAGCTGCTAATACGATATCCTCTGGCGTTGTTGGCGCACCTAAGCGAATATATTCCTTTCTGTGTCCAGCGTCATCACGTGCCGATTGTAGTGCATGCTGTAAAGCAAATATTGAACTCACTGCTAAGCAGAATGCAGGCTCTCCAGTTGCTTTTGAACGCATGAAACCATTTTCATTTGGTATGCTCTGTAACAATTCTATACGAAAATCAATTGGTATGTCCTTTGCACCAGGTGGCTTGTAATTCCAAGTTCGATTGGTTAGCAGTTCCCCAGTTTGGCGATTATAAACCAATTTCTCAGTAAGCCAATAACCCAAACCCATCACAAATGCACCCTCAATTTGTCCAACATCAATGCGAGGATTCAGACTTTCCCCCGTATCTTCAAGTATATCCACACGCTTTATCAAATGATTTCCAGTTAATAAGTCCACTTTCATTTCAGTGCAAGCTAAGCCGTATATATAATAATTTTGCATATCGCCTTGTTTATAGTTTTCACTCGCAATAAGATTAATGGAACGCTGCCAGGCTGTTGCGACAATTTGTTGCCATGTAGAGTTTTTTGCAAGCGAGTCTTTGACAGGTTTGAGTCGATCGTTAAGGACATTGCAAGATTTGCGAACTGCATAGCAAAGACTCTCACTACCAAATGAACTTAAAGTAGACATAGCATTTGCTCCATTGACAGTATTAGTAGCCTCTATGTTGACTAGCTCGAGCGGTATGCCTAAAATGTAAGCAGCAACTTGTGCAACTTTTGTGTTAATGCCTGCAGGAGAAGAAAATTAAAGTTACAAATGTAAAAACAGTTAAATATTAAAAATTTATATAATAAAAGAAAATCCAGCAAAAGAACTAACTAATATGTTATAGATTTCAAAGCGATAATTAAGCCTACCTTGCCCCATTTCGATACCCGCATGCGATATGGTTACCGTGCCATCACAGTGATAAATTGACACCGTAGCACTAAACTGTCCAAAAAATATGAGATTGAATTGCATCACTGATATTCCTAAGCCGCACTTAACCCAACGATTTCTTTTATTGAAATCGTCAATTTCTGCTTTTCGTGTGTGATATTCAATCGACTTAATAAATCTGGGTAGTAACTGAGCCATTTTGTTTGTAGGATTAATATTAGCTAAACGTACACTCACGGCATCCAGTTTAGTTTCAAATGCAATATGTTCCATTATATTCTCTGTCATAGCAATACCTAAGATTTTAAAACAATGAAATGTTAACTATTGAAATTAAAATTTGGAATAATTTTCAATAACCTACCTTCAGTAGAGCCTGGAGCTCTACACCAGGTTGCACTGGGTGCATCTGTAACTACTGCTTGGCCGTTGTACTGATAATTACTTGTGAGCTCATAACAATTTAATGTAGATATATTCGTAAGTAAATTGATGGGATTTTCATTTAGTGAGCACCCCGCGTCTTCATAGAAATTATTTCTTAAGCTCAAGATCTTACCATTCAATGAGGCATGAAACTCGTAGTCAGAGAGACATGCCCAACGTTTGCCATTACAGTTCATCATGGACTCAATTGTTTGGACAAAACGCACTGGACGATTTAATTTGTAGGCAGCAAGTGCTGCTGCACAAGCCACTTGATTACAGCGTGAGATTTTCGCTCCATACCCGCCACCCAAGCGTCGCACAACAAATTGTACACTATTCACTTTAATATTCAACATTTCTGCAATAACGCATTGTGTATGATCCATCCACTGAGTGGATGATGATATCTGTAAACGTTCTTCAAATGGTATAGCAATAGTTGTTTGCGGTTCCATCGTAAAGTGGTATTGCGAACCCATTTCAAAGATACCTTTAGCAGTTATGGTTCCCGCTTTAATGTTGGAGATAGTTTTCGTTTCAACATTAGTTTCTATCTTATGATTATCACTTAAAATCTGTTTTAGTGATAGCTTGGGTGGTTGATTTTGAATATTCGTATAAGTAACACGTACACGTGTCGTAGCACGATGCGCTATATCATGTGTTATGGCGACTATCAAGCCTAACGGTTGATTATAGAATTGAACGATATCCGAACAAAATATTTCTTCCGGTATAAACCATTGAAATCTTTCGTTGACAAATGTATTTCTGCCAGGTATATCCTGAGCGGAAAAGAAAGCAACAACTCCAAGCATTTTTAATGCCTCTTTGGCATCAATGTTCACTATTTTAGCACCCACCCGTGTAGCACCCACAAAAGCGCAATATAAGGAATTATTAGTGGTAAGGGTGTCATTCATGTAGGTTGCTTCACCTGCGCATTGTATAATTGCTGTAAGTTTTATTAGGAGTTAGATAGGGGTTTTGAAATTAATTGCAAAGTCCATACCTTCTAATTTTTCCACTGGCTGGTTTACAGGAAAATTTTTCTTTTTTATCTCATATGTTTGTGAACCGGATGAAATTGGTCTGACAAGTAATTCACCACCTGATTTATATTCCGGTTTGACTAATTCTGCTGGTACCAAATTTAATATCAGTTTGTAAAATAATCCACACGCAAGTTTTTTTCTATATTCTGGAGAAGCGTTAGGTAAAACATCGTTTGGTTGTATGATAATTGACAGCTCGTGAAATATCTTAGCTAGAGTCTCTCTGTCGAATAAATTCTGGCCTATTACCATAGCTTCGACTGTTGTAGCATGCACGAAATCTGGTCTGATACCTCCGTAACAAATGCGTGCAGAATGTACTAGCCCTGTTTCCAACTCCATCTCTAAGAGGAAACCAGCATTCACATAGGCATGAGAATTCTGTGCACGTGGTAGTATCTGTGAAGAAATATTAATATTCAATTTAAAGAGTTCTTGATATAAATAATAAATTATTATTGGTGGTTAGGTCGTATTGTTTTAGTGGTTTAAGTGTATAAATCTATATAAGATAAATTAATTAAGGTTAATTAAGTGCCATTAATAATAACTTTGATGATAGATGCACGTTTGGATATAGCTCTGAGTAAAAATTTTATGTTTATATTTGTACTTTTTTTCCATTTTAAATAATTTATTACAAATTTTTGTTTATGAAAGAAAAAATAAAATTAACAAAACAAAATAATTAATTTTTTTTATTGACTTTGCATTAATTAAAGTTAATAATTGTTTTATTTGTAATTCGAAACAATCACAAATACCGCGATCCGGTTAAATAAAATTGGAAACATACCTTATATGATTGAAAAATGTATCTCTCCTTTGGAAAAGATTGCAAAGAAAATGTAGCTATCAACAACTTTTTCGACGGCAATTTCAAATATTCTAATAGACCCATTACTTGCGGTTTATTTGCACACTCGTAGCAAATCAATTGCACATTCAAAGTCTCAAAAATTATAAAAACATCAGAAGTAAATTCCATATATGCTTTTTTGGTAGAAATATTTCCAGCTAATGTACCATTCTATTGAAATTAAAATATATATATTCTTGAATAATTATCTCTTTATAATAAAATACGTACATTTCGCACAGGTACATTCGCTATTAAATCGAAATGCTTCCATAACTGCTCACAATATTCAAAACCTGGTCTTTGCGCTGCTTCTTTAAAAATATGCATAGTCTCAGTTAAGCTTAGATTTGCACCCAAAGTCAAATGTTCATTATCGATGTGGTAAGTTTTAAGTTCACGTATAGCATTAATATCTATAAAACTTTTTATATTCTCATTGCGTCGATATACTCCATGTGCAGTATTTCCACCTACAAACATAAACTCATTATCTCTAACTTTACTCAAATCATCAAATAGTTCTTCAAATGTCTTTGGCCAAAACCATTGACTTTCATCTTCATAAATTAGACGACTCAGTGGTTTTTGCTGAAGTGCTGGACATTTATTCCCAGCTTTTTTACAACTTTTTCCATTTAATTCTTCTATATCAAGCAGCATATCGTATGTGTTATCGGCTGCAAAAGACTTCATGGCTTCCAAAATTGGTCTATAGCCCGTACAACGGCATAAGTTACCGCCAAAACTATTCTCAACTTCTTCTGTTGTAACTTTGCCTTCCTTGGCTTCGAGTAAGCCATACATGTTCATAACAAAACCTGGTGAGCAAAATCCACACTGGCTGCCATCTAACTTTGCAAGCATCTTTTGTATTGGATGATAACCAATACGTTTATTGCCAATGCCTTCAGAAGTAGTAATTTCCATATTTACCAATGAGTTGAGCAAAGTGAGACACTACCAAAAATTGAATAATTAATATAGATAATAATAAAATAATATTATAATAAAGTTTAAAATACAATATGATGGTATCAGTAAAGAAGCTTATCAAATCTCTAGAGCTTTTAGAATTGCACTGAGTATAACTGAGTAATAAGAAAGTATAAGTATACTTTTAAGTAAACATTATTTTAAATTAGATTCTACATCCAATGATCATACCTAATATGGGAAGGAGAAAGAAGATACCAAATTAAATCAATCACTGTGTTCTTTTCTACTACATGTAAAAATAATTGCATTTTGTACTTTCTAAACTCGTTTTTTTAAATGTTTCATTTATCACGGATTATATTTAGGGTCACATTAAAAAACGTGTTCATAATGTGTTTATAGTATTGCTTGAAATCAAGCAGGATTCATAATGATCAATCAATTTATGTGCGTCAATTTGTTACCCACTGTTGACGGAATCTTCCTACTAAGCTGTGATCAGCTATAGTATGCCCTACTTAGTTACTAACCGAGTTAGCTGCCCATGTTCGTAGTTTCCCAGTTACAGGATGTTTGCCTCTTATTACGCAAATACATGCCCCACACCCGCCTTCAAGACACATATATTTTGTGGCTGTTAGTTGCGCATGCTCTCTTATGAATGTATTTAAAGTTATATCTGCTGGAAAATTTAATAGGTTCACTGAAAAAATAAAAAACAATGTTAATAAAGTTAATAATTTAGTAAATAAAAATAGCAATAATAAAAGAAATTTTACTTATAACCTCTATTTTTTGTATTTTATCTAATCAAACAGCCGTTTGGAAATTTAATTTTTTTTCATTATTCTTCTTTTTCTAGAACTTGTAGTGAGAGCCTTAGCAAGCGCTTAGTGCTCTAGGGCTATATGAAAATGCGATATGCATAAGATAATATAAAAAAACTTGCAAAAAACAATGTTGTTTCGTTAATCGTAAGAGTTTGTTTATTCTAAAATACATTATATATATATCAGTGCAATTACATACTGTTTGCATGCGTGAGTAGATTCGGGAAAATCAAAGAAGACTCTATATAAATAAATGTTTAGTTATAAGAACCACAATATCGTAAAACTACTTTAATGTAGAATTAACTTAATATTGCTCCATTTACAAGTTTTTATATATAATTTTACTCTATTTTGCACTATATTAGTAATTTTTATTACGAAAGCTATAAATGTTATCACTTATTTGCATTAAAAATTAGACACTTAACTCTAAACACATTAGAAATATTAGAAAAATATTTCCCAATGACACTTACCAACGTATAACGTGCCATTAATAACGATAGAAGCGCTCATTGTATTTTGATTATAATTAAAAAATGTATATTATATTTATTTTTTTTAAACAAATTAGTTTTATTTGTGCAATAAAATATTTTACGTGATTTTAAATGAATCTAATATCCCAAAATTATTTGCTTTGCTTCACCCAACTGCACTCTAAGCCTTTGTGAAATGCACTGTTTCTCAGTTATTGGATGCACTTAGTGTCTTGCGTGTGTGACCACTTCAAGCATTGCTCCAAACTGCATTCCTTGCCAAATGCACAGAAGTCACTCTTGAAGTTGCAGTTGTTGTTCTTGTTATAATGAGATTAAATTAACACTGAATTGATTTCAACTGTTTGTATTTGATTTTTTGTTAATTTTTCATATATAAAAGCTGGAATTTTTTTCCACATGGTGTACTTAATAAATATTAATTATTGCAATTATTAAAATAATTTCGATTATTTTACTGTGAATCACTTAATGAATGGCATAATATTTGTTCGCTGTTTTTTTTTTTAACGTAAGTCTTTTAATACATCTGTAGTTCCCGATTCCGAATTCGGTACGAAATCCGTTCACTTACCGCAGTAGTCAACTTCGTTGATGATAAAATTTGCTTTCATTTCGAAAATTTCTTCTCGCTGATAAAAATTGTTACTTTGACTGTAGCTGGTTTTAGACTAACTGTTTATTTAAAATTAAACTGATCTGTACTAGATGTCTTCCAAAGCATTTGACACGAAATCCGGTATTTGTCTTTAGTAATTCGAATAATTAATAAAATTTATTAAAGGCAAATATAAAAAAGTAATTATTTTTATTTCTTTTGTAGTGAAAAAGAGAATAATATCTTTTTTTATCTTTGCATTTTATGTTATAAAAAAATAATAATATCTTAAATACACATATACTTAATATTAAATAAACAACATGGTAACGAGTAAAATAAAACTTTAATTTAAATAAGTTTTGCAATAAACAATATTGTTCTTTAATATTCTATATTAGTTTCAGCCTTTCATCAAAACGTACTCCTACAAAAACATTCTTATATTTTTAAATTTAAGGTTTTCATTACGGATTTCATTATGGATCATAACGGTCTAAAATATCACTAACACAAACTTCGATTATCTGCTAATCCGGAATGCAGATTATGCCTCAGAGATGAGGAAAGAAATATGCATATTCTTTGTGACTGTCTAGCTTTAACAATGCACAGAAGAAACTTATTTCATATTAAATTTCTATCACCAGAACAGATTTATAGTAAGAGCACTTCTTCAGGTTTAGTTTTGGACTTTGTTCACAAAGCTTTAAAGGGCTTTGTCTTATTTGCAATAATAGGACTCTTTTGACCATAGTATCGACTGTTGCGCGATTTCACGACAATAGTTTTAATAATAATAATAATATATAGATCCTTTTTTCAGGCTTCATAATTTCATTGGTATAAAAGTTCTGTAATTAATCGGTGTAAAACTTGTCCAAGTGATTTTCAACACCTCTCCGGTGCTATTATGCACGATGAATAGTCAAACGATGCAAGGTTCGGGCTAAACAGTGGATATATGAAAATTTCATATTTTTATTAATTATGATATCTATTTCAACAGATTCCACATCATCTAATCTTACAATCCTGATTTTGTTTGGATTCATTTATACATATTACATAAATTATTACCAGAGATGAAAGAGAAGATAATTTAGGATTAGCAAGAATATGATATATAACTGGAATTGATGACCTTAACCATCACCTTATAATTTTTCTGGTTAGATCAAATTGTTTTTTTTTTTTTGAAATTTAACCTAATTCATATTAGCGACTGTATCACGATTTGTGTCACTTTTACAAGACTGATATATTTATTCCAAATTTTCTCTATGTTTTCGATGTCATTTTTGTAAAATAATTTTTCTTTACTCTCAAAATAGACTTCAATTCTGATGACTACTTCTTCATGCAAAACAAATTTATTTTCTAAAGCATGTTTTGGGTGTCTGTAATAAACAAACAGTCCTAGCACGGTGGGTGGATAAGCAAATCAAAGCGTGATTTATTCCATTTAACCATTTTCATCGATTACTGATTTTTTAAGTTTAGTCAGTCTTGAGCAAACACCGCAACCAGTTCAGCATTGTAGGTGCTTGCAGTACTTTGTGTATACTTAAGATAACACTGGTTTCCATAGTAACCTGATTACCCCTCGTTTATGCTACATGGGGTCTCTACAACAAGTCTCTATATGAAGCTTTCAACTAAAATAGAATTTTCAAAAAATAATCAATAATCAAATAATTCAAAAAAAAATGTTTAATAAAGCCACGAAAGTCTTTTTATTCATTGTTTTGTTAATTACATAAAAATTGTACATATTATCTTTCATTTTTATAAATGTAAGTTTTTTTAGAAATATAGCTTCCGTCGTCATTATTGACTTTAAAAATCATATTTTTAGAAATACACGAACTTTACTGCTTCCTTTAACTATTTTTTTTTGTTGTAAACTCTGTAAAAGATCTTATGAAATATGATATATGTATTTTAAGTTTGAATCAACAATATTGCATAAGCATCCTCAATCCAACAGTACTTGATCCATTGTTCAATTTATTAGGTATGGGTACAATCTAGAAATACTTTATGTGATGCCAGTAATAAAATTTTAATCCTCACTTTTAAATTTTTTTTTGGAAAATTTTTACAGTAAAAAATTAAAAACATTTTAAATTTTAAACAAAATTATTTATTAGTATTGACTTAACAAAACTTCAAATCGTGTTATTTAATAATAAAAACATCGTATGACATAAGAAATATATTAGCGGGATTTAGTACCAAAGTCGACAAAATTGAATTTTGAATTTAATTGCTTTATAATAAAAACAAACAACATAATTGCTCCTTCAAAAGATAAACAATATATTAAACTTATAAATTAATTAGAAACATTTTTATATATTTTGCATAATTTTTATATCTTTTCAAATTTAAAGGATAATGTAAATTATTATTGGGAGCTTGTTATATCTTTAGTATTTTATGAAGGCGTAAATTCTGACTACTTCCATTTTCTAAAAAATCTTAAAATCTTCTCTTTATTAACTTTTAAATTCAAAAATTGTAGACTCTTAGTCTATTATCCTAAAATATTAATACTTATAATTGCAGCATGCTAACATCTGTGCCAGCATTCAGCACAATATGCTCTGGAGTCATTGGTGCGTTTAGTGGTACCCAAGCTTTCTTCAAACCTGCATCAGTACGTGCAGATTGCAATGCTTCTTGTAGAGCGAAGACAACTGCAATTGCCAAGCAAATTGCGGGCTCGCCAGTGGCTACAAAAAAACAATAAATAAGTTACATTTTGAATTTTGAACTAAAAAACAACATTCTAATATTACCTTTCGATCTCATAAATCCTGCTTGATTTGCACTTTGTGGTAATAACTCCACGCGGAAATCAATTGGAATATCTCTAGCACCCGGTGGTTTATAATTCCAAGTACGATTTGTTTTCAACTCTCCATTAACTTTATCAACTACCATTTGTTCAGTGGTCCAGTAGCCTAAGCCCATCAAAAATGCTCCTTCAATTTGTCCAATATCAACATTAGGATTCAAACTTTCGCCAGTGTCTTCAAGTATGTCAACACGATTAATCAAATAGTTGCCAGTTAATATATCCACCTCGACTTCGGTAAGACAAAGACCACAAACAGTGTATGGATCCATATCACCTTGTTTACAGTCATCGTTGACAATCAAGTTAATCTTGCGATTGTAGGCCTCATTGATTATTTTCTGCCAGTCGGCATCTTTCAATTCTTCCTTCACTGGCTTCAAACGTTCATTTAAAGTGTTACAACATTTACGTACGGCCTATAAGTGTAACAAAATGAATTTATTACTCATTAAGTCAAAGATGTCATTAAGTCTGACATGAGTACTTCATATAGATTTACTTAAATACTTACAAAGCAAAGTGTTTCACTACCCACTGCACCACCAGTTACCATCGAATTTGCTCCATTAATTGTGTCACTGCCTTCAATTTTAATCATTTCCATCGGAATACCCAATACAAAAGCTGCAACTTGCGCGATTTTCGTATTCATACCCTGGCCCATCTCAATACCACCATGTGATATCACAACAGTACCATCCCCATGGTAAATAGCAACAGTTGCTGGATATTGTCCAAAATAACCTATGTGATATTCCATAATTGCCATACCCAAACCTTTTTTAATCCAACGATTTTTCTTATTAAAATCACTGATCTGTTGCTTACGTTTGCTGTATTCTGTGGAGTTTACAAAACGTGGCAACATATCACGCATCTTATGTGCTGTTATTAAATTAGCCAAACGCACATCAACTGGATCCACTCCAGTTTCAAATGCTATATGTTCAATCATGTTTTCAATCAAAGCAATACCTTCTACTGAACCAGGCGCACGACAGGGTGTGTTACTTGGCGCATCAGTAAATACCATATACCCGTCCAATTTATAATTGTTAGTGAATTCATAACAATTTTTGGATAGCATAACTGTATGCCCAATAGGTGCTTCATTCGGTAAGTATCCTGCATCTTCGTAGAATTTGCTACTTATGCCCACAATTTTAGCATTATTCTTGACAAAGAATTCATAATCAATGTGAGCTGCCCAACGCTTGCCTAAAGTATTCATTATTGACTCTAACGATTGTACGAACCGTACTGGGCGGTTCAATTTATATGCTACTAGAGCTGCAGCACAAGCCGCTGGATTACAACGTGTAGCCTTACCGCCATAACCACCACCAATCCGTCTAACTTTAAGTTGTACTTCATTGTTCTTGATATTAAGAAGATTTGCTATGATAATTTGTATAAGATCCATCCATTGTGTGGCAGTGTACACTTGTAGACCACCTTCGAAAGGCACTATAACACTAGTTTGTGGTTCCAAGTAGTAGTGATATTGCAGCCCCATGTCTAATTTGCCAGTGGCACTTAGATCATACTTCTCAGTTAGTTTTAATTCCTCTATTTGAGATTTAATCACATGTTTATATCTATTTGAAGCAGAATCATTGCTTAATACATCATTTAATGTAGGCAAAATCTCTGTGCTACCTCCAGAATAAGTCACCATAACTAATTCTGCAGCACGATTGGCTAAAGCATTAGATTCCGCTACTATAACGCCGATGGGTTGATTATAAAATTTAATAGCACCAGTTGCAAAGAGTTCTTCCTCTGATGGAAAGAAGAATGATTCCTTAACAACAACATTATTTACGCCAGGTATGTCCTTTGCAGTAAAGAAAGCCACGACTCCAGGTAACTTCATGGCTTCAGAAGTATCAATATTTGTTACCGTCGCACCAATTTTTTTTGCTGTAACAAAAGCAACCCAAACTTGATTTGGTTGCACTGGTAAATCATTAGCATATGTAGCTTCACCAGAAGTTTGTATTATGCCTTCATGCTTCTCAGTGGGTTTGGTAACCGGATAATTATTTTCAATAGTTTCAAAAATTTGTTTACCAGTTGAAACTGGTCTATACAGTAGATTACCACCAGTTTTCAGTTTTTCTGGCACAGTGCCAGCAGGTGCATGTTTCAATACAAATTTGTATAGTAAACCATAAGCAAGTTTACGACGGTATGCTGGAGATGGATCGGGAAGAACAGCAACCGGATCAAGTTTTTTTTCCAATTCTGAGAATACTTGATATAAAGTGCCATGATCAAATATGCTTTTTCCTGCTAATAAACGTTCTACGGACTCGGCGTGTATGAAATCTGCATTTATGCCACCAAAACAAACTCTAGCTGAACGTACTTTGTAATTCGGTTTCTCTATATCGACTAAAAATGCAGCGTTAACATAGGCGTGTGCATTTTGGGCACGTGGCATGATCTGTAAATTTTTAATTATTTTATATTTTAAGTTTCGAAAGTTAGGAAATTAAAGTCAATTAATTATTAATTTACTAACCTTATAAGAATCAAAAATAAAAGACTCCTTGGGATAAGGTTTCAAGATGAAAGCAGTTATTACTTTCTTTAACATAGGCGTCTTCAAATATTCAGTAAGTAATAGAGTTTTCTGCACAGTTGCAGACTCATTGATCACAATTTTCACATCTAAGGCCTCAAATGCTATGAAAATATCAGAGGGAAAATCTTTGTGCTCATGTTTGATAGCAAAGTTTCCAGCCAATGTACCAGTCTGTGAAAATTTAATTTAATCAAATAAATGTTGTTCAATTTTATGTATATTTAAATAAAAAGCAGGAGAGCAGGAGATCAGGAATACATTAAAAACACTCTATAAGGAAATTTAGTAATAACTTTCCTAGATAACTCACAGCATTCACCTATGAACTCAACAAGTAAAATAATAAATAATAATAATAATAATAATAATAATAATAATAATAATAATAATAATAATAATAATAATAATAATAATAATAATAATGCTAATAATAATAAGATTAATAATAAGAATAATAATAATAATAAAAGGTAAAGTATATAGTGAATTTAAAGGACGTATTCATAAGACAAATCTGCAGGGTAAATGTTTGATAAAAGCCATCAACACTTTTGCTATTCCCATTCTGACTTATTGTTTCGAAATAATACAATGGACAACGACTGAGATACAAGCGATGCAGCGAAAAATACGACTTTGCTCACAGAATACAAATTCAACCATCCAAAATCATGTTGTGAGCGAATGACTATGCCTAGAAAGGAAGGATGTAGAGACCTTATTGATATGCAAGAACTACATGATAATCAAATTATATCAATGAGAGAATATTTTTTAAAGAATGCAAAAAATGATGTCTTGTTTAAAATTTTAACCGAAGCAGACAAACATTACACACCATTAAATTTGGAAGGAACTTTTGAAAGAAAAGCACAAGATCGGCAGTGTAAAGAGCAAGCTTTGGCAATCAAACCGCTACATGGAAGATATTTTAGATCCACTAACGCCGACAATGTCGATAAAATAATGTCGCACAAATGGCTTACATGTGGAACACTATTTGCTGAAACTGAGGCGTTCATGATTGCAATACAGGACCAAGTAATTCCGACAAGAAATTACTGCGAATTTATAATGTCAGATCCTTCGCTAATTAATGACAAATGTCGGCAATGTGGAGAACAAACGGAAACTGTAGATCACATACTGGCAGGATGTACATGCTTAGCACAAAAAGAATACACAAAGAGACACAATAACGTGGTTAATATTTTACATAAGCAAATATGCAATAAATATAGACTTATTGATAGAGAAAATGTACCATACTATAAGTATACATCACAAGCAGTATATGATAATCCAGACGTAAAAATTTATTACGATCGAACTATTTATTCCGATCATACAAGGTTGCACAATGGACCAGATATAACTATTGTTGATAAAAGACGTCGAGAAGGACTCTTCATTGATGTTGCAATACCAATGACCAAAAACATGGATCGGACTTATTTTGAGAAACGTAGTCGATATGCAGAATTAGCTGTGGAAACAAAACGTAATTGGAACCTTAACAAAATTCAAATTCTTTCAATTATAATTAGTGCTGAAGGTGTAACGCCAAAAAGTTTATTGTCGCATATTCGAAGACTTGAATTAAACCAGCGAATTATTGATGACATCCAGAAAAGTGTTATAATTGATTCCTGTCATATTACTCGGTAATTTTTAAATATTAATTAATTTGAAATCAATCAAATCAAATACTAGTTAAAATAGTTTAAATAAATATATAGATGATGTGTTATATTTTGTACTGGCTTAGGCCACCAAAACTTACCAAAAAACCCACTAAGGAGATTTAAATAAAAATAATAATAATAATAATAATAATAATAATAATAATAATAATAATAATAATAATAATAATAATAATAATAATAATAATAATAATAATAATAATAATAATAATAATAATAATAATAATAATAATAATAATAATATTAATAATAATAATAAATAATTGTTCGTATTTAGTTTAACTTGTTCGTGCTAAGGTCATTAAAAATAATTTAATGATATGTACAAGATCTAACTGATGTTTTATAGTTTCAATTTATTTAAAGTATTTTAAAAATATTTTTTTTTAAGAAATTTTGAATAGATTAACTAAGGCGCAGCAATCTTTTATTTCACAGGTTGTGAAATTCATTTTTATCTTGGATCGCGTATTTAAAATAAAAACTCATTTAAAGTGAAGTATTAAAAATTAATTCAAAGCTTATATAAAAACATTTAATCTAAAACGAAAACATTATACTTATCTACTAAAAATAGAATTTTAGCGGTACGAATTCTAACCTCAAAAACTAAAAGCGTTGTTGACGCCATTTATGTGACTACGTATATATTCTATATGTGACTACTTTTATATCTATAGAATATCTTCTAACGGAGTGATATAATTTCGGTAGATGTGTTGTTAGTCCAATAAATATCATTTATTGGTTTTTATTGGACTTAAAGTAATTGGATAAAAGTCCAATTAGACTAATATAAAAATTAAATATATATATTTATATGTATTTACAATAAAAAATATATAATTTATTATATTGGTCTGAAGGCCCCGATTGCCATGATTGTTAACATAATTAGGGCTTTTTTTCTTAATATGTTTTTCTAACTGTGAATAAAAAATAAATAGATGAATAAATAAATTATTATCAATAATTATGTACAAGTACATTATTTTTCATTATTTATAAATTCTATTTCAATACTTGTGAAATTGGGTTGTTTAAAAACTCAAGAACTCTTCAGTGCTTGTGAGGTATTTATTTGTTTATTAATTTTTAAAGAAATTGTTATTGCTTTTGAAAGCAATGATTCCGATAAAATTGATAGCAAATTTATTAAAATATTTTCAAAATTATTTGATTAATTTTTAATATTAATAAATAACAGCGAAGTACTTCAATAACTGTTATGTTCGGTATAAACGACTCTGAGATACTCTTGTATGCATTACTTGTATATATACAAAATATTAATACAAAATTTAATTTAAATTATTATTATATTAAAAAGAAAAATATGTACATAACGTCATAACTAAAGATATCTCTATAAATCTATTTAAAAAAAACTCCTCATAACTATCTAGCGCCACAAGGCAGCTTAAATAATGTATAGTCTTCATAGTTCTAAACATAACCTCCTAAGCTTCCTCTTAACGTTCATGTTAAATAAATAAAAAAGTTTAAAAAAAAAATAAATAGGCAGTTAAAAAAGAAATATAAAATAAACTTTACTACAACCCAGTATCAAAATGTGTCAAAAACTGATGTAACCACATAACGCATTGTAGCTCAACTAATAGTTTTGTAACATTTAACAATTTATCAAGCCACTACACTTTTCAACTTCATTACGAATGTCTTCTTTATCTAATCATAAACGTAAATAATATTTGTGTGTTGATATATATCTACTAGTATCTATAATCACTGAATATTCTTATAAATACTTTTGTCATATGTTTTGAATTTTAACTATAAATACACTTAAACTGTCTAGTCATGCTGATACTTACATTTCTAACCGGCACATTAGCAATCCAATCAAAATGTTGCCACAACTGTTTACAGTACTCAAAACCAGATGTTTTGGCAGCTTCTGTGAAAATTTCCATAGCCTCTGTTAAGCTAAGATTACCGCCAAGAGTAAGCGTATCTTTAGTGAGTGCATATTTCTTAAGTTCGGCTACGCCATTTACATCAATAAAAGTTTTAATATCGTTCGAGCGTCTATAAACACCGTGAGCTGTATTTCCAGCAACTAACATATACTTTTGTCCTCCCAACTGTTCAAAAGCATTAAAAATATCAGCAACAGATTTTGGCCAAAACCATTGACTGCCATCGTCGAAGGTTAAACGTTTTTTTATGCCATTGCAAGTACCACTGCAGCGTCCACCAGTTTTTGGACATGTTTTCGTTTTTAAATCCTCAATATCTTGGCATTCTGCTGGTACTTCAATATTACTATCGACAGCAAAAGATTTCATAGCATCCAATATAGGACGATAGCCAGTACAGCGACAAATATTGCCACCGAAAGAATTTTCAACTTCTTCCATAGTGACTTTACCATTTTTCGATTCCAGCAGAGCATACATATTCATAACGAAACCTGGTGAACAGTACCCACATTGAGTACCATTCATTTTCGCCAAACGTTGTTGTATGGCATGATAGCCCTCACGTTTGTTGCCAAGGCCTTCAGAAGTAGTTATTTCGAGATCGGCGCAGCTGTTAAGCAAGGTCAAACACTACAAAATTTCAGAGAAGATTTACACCTATATACATATATAGATCTTGTTGAAATTAGTAAAAAACTTACTGAATTCACTGCCCAAGTGCGTATGTCACCCGTCGCTGGATGCTTGCCGGTTACGGCACAAACACAAACGCCACAGCCACCTTCCTGGCACATGAATTTCGTTGCTGGCAGACCGGCATGTTCTCGGATGAAAGTGTTCAAGGTGATATCCGCCGGTAAACTAGCAAGATTTACTGCGTAGTTTTTAAAGGGTTTTAATTATATAATTACTTTTCAAAAAAATGTACACTAATTTCAGTTAATTTTGTTTTACTATTACAATATTATTATTATTTTTTTTTGATTTTTGCTGTCATCATTGTAATTACAATGTAATTATAAATTGCTTACCAGTGTACGGTGTGCCGTTTATTGAAAAGCGAGTCATGATCTGGCGTACATGCGATATTGGGTGATATGTAATGAATTATTCTTTTAATTAAAATTCCAAAAAAAAACTATTAAAATATTTTTATTAAAAATATTAAATATTTCTAGTGCGATCACGTAGCTCCGAACGCTTCAACTAACAATGTTAGTTTATTGTTTGAGACTTGCGAAGCGCTATTTTTATTAGAATTTAACTACTCAAAATATTGACTCGTCCATTCGGTACGTCATAGTTCTTAGCAGAGAGTTTTTATAGTGAATCTCATATCGCTTGATATGTGTACATTTTGATAAGCACATACATAAACTCTTATAATTTATATTCTCTTATATTTCATAAATATTTTTTTAAATGTTTTTTATATTTATTTTAACGTTTCTTATTAATTTAGTAATATATATGTATAAATGTCTATTTGAATGTATTTACTTTTTTTGTTTATTAGAGTAGTTTATATTTTATACAATTAATAAAACGTTAATAACGAAATAATTAATATCGAAATATAAACAATTGCAAATTAAAGAATTCTCTCATTACAGTCCATGTCTCTTATATCTACGTAAATACTTCTGCATGCCAAAATTAATCGATAAATAATGACATTCATTAAACGTTTCAGTACAGAACGTACTTCTAATCATTTTGAATTAACAATACCAATACCAATACCAATACATTACAAACAAATTCTAATACAACTAATACATACTAATACTAAACTAATACTAATAGAAGTACTCTCTTCTAAAATAAAAATAAATTCAGTATATCTACTATATGTGGGCTATTGATATACTGACCTGACTGAAACAGTTATTTCTGCTCACATTCACACTACCTCTGCACTAATTTAAGATAGTAATAGACTAATAAGATGAAAAGTATAAAGGGGTGCTATCTAAGTACATCTTTAGCATATGTGATTCTCTTCACATGACGTTGGAATACATGTTGAAAATATTTTATAACTATTATTATATAATTATAATTATTTTTTATATATTTTATTCTATTACTACTATTTCAACTCACTTTGGACGATCTTAAAATTGTATGTGGGTTAAGATTAAAATCTAAGACTTTATGTCGAAGAGCACAATCAGTTATTGTCATCGTTCGAATTTTACTATCAAATTGCTACAATTTCTAGCAATATATATTTTATCGTTGTCATCACTTAACATTTCCAATCGAAATGGATTTTAGTTTTCTCCTCAAACTTACTTTAAACTCCTTAACTCTAAGTTTTCTTGTAAAGTATTGCTTATTTTTATCGATACAATCATTAACGTATACTAATGTTATTGGGCGTAGTCCGTGTTTGACATACCCTAGTCTATGTACAATGTTTACTATTTATACCAATCTCTTTGATTGGGTATATTTCACAAAGTCCTTCCTATTTATCAAGTAAATTTATTCTTCTTTTATATATTCTATATGAGTTATGATCTGCAGTAAAACCTTTGCGTAAAATCTTTATTTAAATTATTCACTGTGTTTATTCGTCAACGAAAGTTACAGTCGTTCCTATAATTGTATTGCAGACAGATAATTAATCGCTTCATGGTTAGTTGGAATATCACCACTTGCAAAGTTGGAATACTTGACATGTCCTTTCGGAATAATCTTAACACTTCCTTGTAATATCCTAGTTCAGACTTCTTGGTTTTCCATTAGAATCTGCGGCATTAACCTTTTGTTTGCCTAAAGTTTCAGCTAGATATTTAACATGCGTTGCTTTTTAGTGTTCGAGTTTCCTCTTCGATGAGTCTCGTTAGCGTTAGCTTCAAAGCCTTTTTTTGATTCTCTCGATGTTTTCTTCATTGCGATTGGTTTTTGGTATAGTGCTTGGTTAGTGTTTGCAAGATCCTCACAAATAGTCCAAACCAATCCAAACCGAAAGCATATGGCCGGTACCCCATTTAACCTGATCCAATTTAAAACAGAACTTAATACTTACACTTTGTTTCGCGTAGTTTTAAAATAACTAAATGTCAAAAGAATTTGCTTAAATCTTGACTACAAGTATATAAAACAATTGCATTTTCCTACCGTTGTGCACTCGCAAATGCGGCTGCACTAAGAATCGTTATGAAATAAATCATTGGATCTTGGACGAAGTTCGTCCGACGAACTATGTAAGCGAATTTTAAAACAGTTAATTTAAAACAGTCTTCAAAAAAGTAAATTTATTTCTTGTTTGGAATTAGTGTCGATTAACATTTTTACTCCAGACTTTGTATGTTATTTTAGTATATATTTTTCATGAGTCATTCTTCTACATTATGAGATTTATCAGATTTGCATATCTTCCTCTAATTGTGCTTGATTTTATAAATATGGTAAATATGATTATTTGGTACTACAATTTGATTTAATGACCTTTAATTAATGTCTCGTTCAAAAAAATTTTGTATTAAAGATTTTTAAGTAAATTTTTTTTAAACAATTTGTGGAAAAATATTTGTAAAATACAACAAAAGCAAAATTATGTCATATCACTTTAAAATAATTATTAGTTTTGTCGAGTGTATATCAGCTTCACTAATACAAAAAAATAATTATATAGTATATGCTTTCCGTAATAGTTTTTGATTACTATTGTTAGCAGCTTTTATTTAGTAAGTATAGCAATCAGAAATTTGTAAAAATATGCATTATCTTTGAACTAAAATAATGCATCGCTGACTACACTAACCTGAAGTAGTGTTAATTCTACATAAGTTCCACATAAGCGAAATTAGGAAATCTAGACAAAAAATTTTAATCAAAATACTTAAAAAAAAATTTTAAATGCAATATTTTATTTAAAATGTAATATTTTCATATTACAGAAATATTTTGACCAAACCGAGCGTTGGTATAAAATTAAATTTACAGTAATTCCCTTAAATCGATTAGATTATTAAAATCACAATAACATAACCTCTGGGCTTTAGTCAGGAGAAAAAGTTATATCATCATCACAATCACAACTTCTTGCGATCAGTTGGCAATGTTAATATTGTAAAATTTGTAAATAATTAATTAATATAACTGTAGTTTATTCGTTAGTTCTAATTAATAACTAAACAAATGTACTGGTTGCTTATAAAGCAAACTAAGGCAAATTAAGTGCACATTGGCTTCGGTTGCCGATAATTACAATCCAAATATTAAATCCGGACAATTCGTATACGGATAAGTGCTTCCAAAATGACAATGATAGAAATTTCGAAATTTCGCAATACCCGAAACAGCTGTATGGTCAAGCCCAAGAATTTACTTAATTAAAAATTGTTTAGAATTTAAAACCTTATTCCCGTTTCAGTTCGCAATGGTTATCTTGTTTAGGACATAAAATTCATAAATGAAAAAAAATAGATAAATCTTGTTACGCCCATTTCAGTCTTCAATCAATCATAAAAAAATGTTAGCATATTATTTAGCAAATACCCGTAATTACATTATATTGAAATATTTTATGCATTTATTATAACATAATAATATATATTTATATATACAGTACAAGTAATACTTTGAATAAAAAGAGTTTTTATAACAAACTATTCTAAGGAAAACTTGTTAATATCATTTCCTGCCATTTGCACAATTGTTTCTGGGGTAGTTGGAGCACCTAAGCGCACCCATTCCCTCTTTAAGCCTGCATCTTTACGTGCCGATTGTATAGCATGTTGCAAAGCAAAAATAACGCTTATCGCTAAGCAACTAGGGGGCTCACCAGTAGCCTTTGAACGCATAAATCCGCCTTGATTTTTACTTTTCTGCAATAATTCAATACGAAAATCAATTGGTATATCCTTTGCTCCTGGGGGCTTATAATTCCAAGTACGATTAGTCATCAATTGACCAGTTTGACGATCATAAACAAGATTTTCGCTTAACCAATACCCCAAACACATAACGAAAGCGCCTTCAATTTGACCAATATCAACAAATGGGCTTAAGCTTTCGCCCGTGTCTTCGACTATATCAACACGTCTAATCATATTATTACCAGTTAATATATCCACTTCGATTTCTGTCAAGCCTAGTCCATAGACTGTGTATTGCTGCAGATCGCCTTCTTTGCAACAATCACTGGCTATTAAATTAATCGATTTTTGAAAAGCTTTTTGCACCACTTCTTGCCAAGTAGCATTCTTTTTCAGTTGCTCTCTAATAGGTCTTAGACGTGCATTAAGTATATTACATGTTTTGCTAACAGCAAAGCAGACGGACTCACTTCCCACACTTCCACCCGTGACCTCTGAATTAGCACCATTTATCGTATCAGTGGATTCGATTTTAACTAATTTTAGCGGTATTCCAAATACGTAGGCAGCGACTTGTGCAACTTTAGTGTTCATACCTTAAACAGACAATAATATACAATTAACTTTGCTTATTAAAATATTAAATATTAATGCAAATATTATTATTGATTTGGTTTTGATTATCACAGTTTTGAATAATTTTGTTTCTATTACCTTGTCCCATTTCGACACCTCCATGTGAGATAACAACTGTGCCATCAGAATGATATATTGATACCGTAGCTGTAAATATGCCGAGATATATTATAGGATATTCCATGATAGCAAGACCCAAACCACGTTTGCGCCAACGATTCTTTTCATTAAAAGTATCGATATCTTTACGTCTTGCACGGTATTCGGTGGATTTTATGAAACGCGGCAACAATTCTGTCATTTTGTTGCCAGGTTCCAAATTAACAAGTCTAGCGTCTGCTGGATCTACCTTAGCTTCAAATGCAATGTGTTCCAATATGTTTTCAATCATAGCAATAGCTTAATAAAAGTAAAAGAATAATATAATTACTTTTAAGATATATACCGATTAATAATAACATAAGTTAGTACATTCAACTGAACCAGGAGCTCTGCACCAAGCTGAACTAGCCGCGTCGGTAAGCACTGCTTTCCCATCCAACTTAAAGTTGTTAGCCGTGAACTGGTAACAATTTTTTGAGCATAGCGTTGAATACACTGGAACTGGGTTTTCATTTAGAGTACAGCCAGCATCTTGCCAAAATGTATTCTTGAGTCCCGTGATCTTTGCGTTCGATCTAATTTTAAATTCATACTCAGATGTACATGCCCAACGCTTTCCATTTGAATTCATCATTGACTCAATGGTTTGGACAAAGCGAGCTGGACGATTTAGTACGAATGCCACCAGTGATGCCGCACATGCCACCTGATTGCCACGCGTAATCTTACTACCATAGCCACCACCTAAGCGACGCACTCTGAGTTGTACACTGCTAATGTTAATTCGAAGCATCTGGGCAATCGCAGCTTGTGTATGATCTAACCATTGTGTGGCAGCCCAAACTTGTAAGCCATCTTCAAATGGCACTGCTATGGTTGTTTGTGGTTCCATTGTAAAATGATATTGTGAACCCAATTCTAGCATGCCACTTCCACTTATATCTGCAGCTTCGGAAAGTTTGATTTCTTTCACTGCTGACTTTGATACATCATATATGCGATCTGTACGACCTGATTGCAGCACCATTGCAGTATCGAGAAATATTTCACTATTTTCACTAGAATATATAACTTTTACTTTATTAGTAGCACGATTAGCTATATCACTAGATGTGGCAACTATAACACCCAATGGTTGGTCATAGTATTTTACTTTTTCAGAACAAAATATTTCCTCTAGATCGTAACCACAACTAGCAGCAGTGAAGCTATTAACACCTGGTATATCCTTTGCTTTAAAAAACGATATAACACCAGGCGTTTCTAGCGCTTCCGTAGCATCAATATTTTCTATCTTAGCACCTACTTTTGTTGCGCCTACAAAAGCGCAATATACGGAGTTATTAGTGGTAAGTGTATCATTCATATAAGTGGCTTCACCAGCACACTGTATCATTGCTGAAAATTTAACGATAAATTAATAAAATTTTTAAAGAAATTTGAATATAGCAATTACCTTCCAATTTTTCCACCGGTTGGGATACAGGATAAAATTTCTCATTCGTATCATATTTTTGGGAACCTGATGAAATTGGTCTAACCAGTAATTGACCTCCAGATTTATATGCCTCCTTCACTAACTCTTTTGGTGCCACATTCAATAAAAACTTATAGAATAAACCGCAGGCTAGCTTTTTGCGATAGTCAGGTGAAGCATCTGGTAAAACAGCATTAGGTTCTAAGACTTCTGAAAGTCTCTTAAATATTTGAGCTACAGTTTGCTGGTCAAACAATTTCTGATTTTGTAGCATATTTTCTACTGCTGTCGCATGTATGAAGTCAGGTCTGATACCTCCAAAACAAATACGAGCAGAATTTACCTGACCACTTTTTTTGTCCATCTCAAAGAGAAAGCCAGCGTTAACATAGGCATGTGCATTTTGTGCACGTGGCATAATCTGTTAATGATATCATATATATTAGGTATAGAAATTAAATACTGGTGTAAATCAAGTCTTTTAATTTCATCAAGATCTTAAAAACCTTTCTATTGGATAAACCTTTCCATGTATAAAGGCATAGACGTGCATTATATTCATATTGTTGTGATATTTTCAGAATTGTCATATAGAGAGAGATGAACCACGAATGAAAGAATTTGATACTTCAATCGAATTCTTTCGAGATGACCGGCTTCTTAATCCCTCTTATATTGAAATTTTTTAGGCGATTTACAATTAGTTTAGATTAAAAATAAGCAGATTTAGGTTTAGTTAGTAAATCTAAATTCACTAAATAAAACCTTTATGTAATAATAGTTAAATATTGAACGGATGGAAAGTGGCTCTGAAGTTTAGTAATTTCAGCAATTAAACAGTTTTGAAGTAGATTATTGCGAAAAATGCCTATCGAACATATCGAATAATTGGAAGAATATGGAATAATTAACAATTATTATATTATAATTTTTATATTATATTAATTATTATATTATATTAATTATATTATATTAAATATTTATCACTTAACTAGTGATACGGCATTGTGAAGAAAATATTGCAATGGCTTCCAAACAAAAAATAGACGATAGAAAAAGAAGAAGATAGGAGAAGAAGAAGATAGAAAAAGAAGAAGATATGAGAAGATGATAGAAAAAGAAGGTAGAACAATAAGATAAAAGAAAAAGAAGAAAGAAAGTATATCAAAGGATGTCGTAAGACTGTGAAAATAAAGTAAAGAAAAAGTACAAACTATATAATTTATTCCGAGAGACCAAATCCACAAGAGAAGAAAAGTAAATTTAATCCGAGAGACGAAAGCTATATACGACAAAAGAGTACAGTGTTTTTTAAAAAGCCACAAATTACTAAAATTTGTAAACGAAAAGTTACAATAATTAAGATAATGGGTTTTAAATTCTTTGACAAGTTTTTATTGGACATAGATAAAAGTTCATATAGGGTAGATAAAAGGTAGATGAGGTAGATGGCTAAGGCTAAGTTCATATAAAAAAAATAACCTCACATTTTAAGTTTTTGAAATTCACTGAACAACTCTTAACTCTAATCAGTTATTAAAAACAAACCAATAGTGCAGACAGTGTATAAAAAGTGACTACCTTATTGAATATAAATGTATTGAGACAGGAATTGTCACTTTCTATTTGCAGTATCAACTCAATTTCACAATTAACCCTATTTTACTAAGAATACAACTTATGATCATAGTTCAAAATCAGAAAAACTTGTAATCAACATACCTTGTAAGACATAAAATTAAAATTTTCTTGGGGATATGCTTTTAAAATAAATGCGGTTATCAATAACTTCTTTTCGGGCAATTTCAAAAATTCTAGTAATTCCGTCGTTTGGGTTTCAGATTCACTCTCATGGTAAACCACCTGAGCATTCAAGCTTTCAAAAGTTATGAAAACATCAGAAGGAAATTCCATATGCGTTTTCTTAGTTGCAATATTACCAGCCAAGGTACCATTCTATAGAAAAACCAAACAAATAAAGATTTTAAAATATTTTATATAATAATGAAATACTCACATTTCGCACAGGTACATTCGCTATGAGATCAAAATGTTTCCATAATTGTTCACAATATTCGAAACCAGCTTTTTGTGCTGCTACTTTAAAAATATCCATAGCTTCGGTTAAGCTCAAATTCGCGCCTAAACTAAGAGTTTCATCATCGATGGTATATGTCTTTAGTTCGGGTATTTCATTGATATCTATAAAACTCTTAATACTTTCAGTACGACGATAGACGCCATGTGCAGTATTTCCACCTACAAACATAAATTCATCCTCTTTAACTCCATTTAGAGCAGTAAATAGCTCTTCAATTGTTTTCGGCCAAAACCATTGGCTTTCATCTTCGTACATGAGGTGATTCAATGGTTTTTGCTGAAGAGGACAACATTTGTTTGCAGTTTTTTTACAACATTTTTCATTTAATTCCTCAATATCAAGTAACATATCGTATGTGTTATCGGCTGCAAAAGATTTCATTGCATCTAGAATAGGTCTGTAGCCTGTACAACGGCATATGTTGCCACCAAAACTATTTTCAACTTCTTCTGAACTAATCTTGCCATTTTTTGATTCCAGTAAACCATACATGTTCATAACAAACCCTGGTGAACAAAAACCACACTGACTGCCATTCAACTTGGCCAACATTTTTTGTATTGGATGATAGCCTATGCGCTTACTGCCAATACCTTCAGAAGTAATAATTTCCCAGTTTGTGCAGGTGTTAAGTAAAGTAAGGCACTTAAGTCAAAATAAATATAATATAAAAAATTTTATTATTAACAACATATTAATGAGTAAAATACATATACTAAAACTGTGTGATCAATGAGGATTTCTAAATGAGGGACGTTTCAGAAACAAAATATAATTCGATACACTATGCCATCTTCTTAAGTATAAAAATATATTTTACAACAAATTAAAGGACATTTCCTAATCTAAGGACTAATAATAAACTTAAAAAATTTAAATAGATTTTAAAAAAGATTTCAAAATTTTACAATATTTTTCCGATAGGCTTTTCTATAATATATGCGTATTACGGTTAATATCAAAAATGAAAACCGCCTAATTATTTGGTCGGTGATTAAGTTACGATATGAAAATAGTATATTCCTGAGATGTAAAGAATTGTAATATTTTAGTTTTTTTATTGAAAAATACTTATCTTTGACACCCATAAATCTTTTTATTGAAATCCGTGTATATCGGTTGATATCAGAAAATGAAACCCACTTATTTGTTTTGATAGGTGTTTAACTTAATATATGTGAATAGGTTATTCTTCATATATAAGGTTTTAAGGGACTTCAGTTTTCTTTTTTTTGGAAAAGAGTTTTCTTTGACACTCAAAAATCTTCGTTAATATCGTAAATGAAACCTTACTAATTATTTTTGTTTCTGTGTTGAAAAACGTATATGCCTTGCAGAGATGCTATATCTTTTAACATGTTTGGATCCAAACGCATTTTAAAAGAACATATTGGGTTATTAGGAATAGTATAGCGAAATACTGTTAAATAACCTTTACAACAGAATTAATACAATTATTTTTAATATCACTAAAATATTATTTAACATTATTTAATTTACAATAAAATCCACGGCATATCTTAAAGAAAACTTATATTTTTCTGATTATGTATCATGGTTAGGTATAACATCTAACTAGAAAATTTGAAGGATATCAGTATCCTGTTATTTTAGAGTGTAAATTTTTTTTAATATAGTGTCATTTGGGAGTGGTAAGCAGCGTTTGGTCGTCTTAGTTGATATGTGACTTCAGGGCGTAGACCCGATCGCTCCTGAAACCATAACAGTTTCCTAAATATCATGATCACCAATACTTATGGGACTTTTTTCCTTAAGCATAGTTTACTTAGTTACTTACCGAGTTCGCTGCCCATATTCGTAGTTCTCCAGTTGCAGGATGTTTTCCTTTGATTACACAGATGCATGCTCCACAGCCACCTTCAAGACACATGAACTTCGTAGCTGTTAGTTGCGCATGCTCGCGTATGAAAGTGTTAAGTGTGATGTCCGGAGGAAAATTTAAAAGATTAACTGCAACGAAATAGTAAATGTTATATTTTATCATAGTAAAAATTGCTTATAAAATAAAAAAAAAAAGAATTTAGAAGGATTATTTCCTTTTCCTCTTATTATATTTCCTTATTTTGTTTTATTAGTAGGAATAGTATAAACCGCGACTCTAGCGTTATATTATGCTAACACCGGTTGTTTAAACCGATCATTAAACATTTTTCTATTATGTATAACATATAAAAAAATTATTAACTTTATCAATTTATTTGTTACTCAGTAATGTGAATTTCGTGGCACACATAAACCATAAATGTTCATGATCAGCTCCCGAAAACATATTGATTTGTTAAGATCCATTTGCCTATCTGTTTGATTGCTTGTCTATCAACTTATTAATCATTTTATTCAACTTTGAAGCTTATCGATAAAGGGATTGCATTAGGAAGTTTTTATGAATCCAAGCAGTTCCAATCTAAGTCGACAAATGGTTTATCTATTGTTTGATATTTCTGTGTAGAACTAATACAAATGAATTGCCTAAAGTTAGCTTAAAATTAATAATATGTAAGTAAATTAGATAAAGCTTCTTATAGCAATTATAGAGGTTCACAATTTTTATTACTTGAATGTTAAATAATCCCTTCGAGATTCATAGAACAACATAACAATAATAACTTAAATTGTAAATAATTGAATTTGTGTGAAACTATTTGTGTGTAGAATATTAAGAACTTTTAAAGGCCACAATATTTTTTTTTTGTGTTTGTTTAAAATTTTTTGATGTTGACTATTAGTGGCAATAAAAACTATATTTATTGATTGTGAAAAAAGTTCAAGTTAATGTGAACAAATCGTATTTGAAACTAAATGATGATTTTAGCTCTATTTCTAGTGCTACTTTCTATTGAAATATATGAGTATCTATAAATAATTCAGGAAATTGAATGCAATTTTTTATATATTTTTTTTCTTCTTGAATAATTTACTTTTCTTTGAACATATATGTATGTATAATATATACATACATATACATTAAAGTGTAATGTATAAAATATATAAAAATGCAGCATATGTACATATGTACATATATGTTGAAATGCAATTTGTGACAATTATTGGTAAAAGCTTAAACGGAAAAATGTGATAAAATTTTATAGTTGTAATGCAAGTTTTGGTTAACTTAAAATTATTTATTTAATTCAAGAATGCATTGTATTTATTACTTGACTTACCAGTGTACGGTGTACCATTAATAACGAAACTTGTAGTAGACATCTTACTGAAGTTAACTTTCCACAGAAAATATTTGTTTTTTTTTAATAATTTGAACTTCACTTTATTTTTCACAAAATTTGATTTTAGTTGATTTGCTGTTATTCCCCGATTTGCACTATCACAATTTAATACATATACGGAATATTTTTAGCGATAAGAACCTTGCAACTATTGCGTGTGTGATCACTTTAAGTACTGTTCCATGTCAATTGCATTTAAACTCTGTTTAGTAGCTCGAGTATTTTTATTTTCGTATTTCGGACTATGAGACCCGCTTCACACTGAACTACTTACAGCTGTACAAACCGTTGCAGAGTTAATATTTTTTTTTACTACTGACTAGGCTTTAAAATATAATTAATATTTATTTACCAGTTGGATTTCAATAGTTTTTGCTCACATTCGTAGATGTTGATGTCTGGTACATGTACTAGTTTTTTCTACGATACTGTAAAAATGAATAGTTTGCGCTTAACTTTACTCAATGTATGATCACAACCTTACGAATTGGTGAACTGATGACAGTCTACGTTACAATCACATATTGTACCCAGAATTGCAGAATGTGAATTCGTGCTTACCACTTATTAGTTGATGAATTGAGCTGCAACCGCAAATTACAATCATTAAAAGAGATGCTATTAAATACGAATCGTTTTATAACAGCTATTTTTATTGTATTTTGGTTATAAATTTTGTTGCTTGAATCACTTTTGTTTGGATATTTGGATATTGTTAAGGTTCGCAGAGCTATAGCTACTTGGAACCCTAACCACCATTCGATATAATCTATGCACATACATACATAAATGATAATGAAAATCATTGGATTATGCATCTGTTTAGTTCGATAGTTGCCAAGATTGCGTATATACATATATAACACATATATATGTATATATATATAATATATATATTTATATATATATATATATATGCCTACACAACATTCTTAAATAGAAAGAATTTTATTTTAAATTGATAACAAAATGTTTTTAATGAATATTCTTAATATCACATTTATATATTTTATTTATATTACTTATTAAAACTTAATAATACGTACTCCTATGTGAACACTTGATCGCACCACAACACAAAATGTAAGAAAAATAGCATATATTATAATAAAAAAAACATAGAACTTTCTATGTTTTTATTCAATTTGTTCAATATTTTCTCAACATTAGCTTATTGTTTTTGAATGCATGAAATATTATGACATTTGTTGCGGGACCAAAGAAAAAGTTTCTTCCTGGGTAACTTAATCCACAGACATGAATGTGCTATTTTGAGAAGAATTATATCATTAGACATACAGTTTGAGAGTGATTGATAAGGTAGAGTTTGAGTAGATTTCAATTCCTCTTTAAATTTATTTAATAAATAGATCTTTTACTGTTGTTTGTCATTCTTTTGTTCCTCTTCAGCTCTTTTTGTTCTAGCCCATGAAGCTCTATATAACAGCAGATATGCAAGAAATTACAAAATACGAATAGATGGCATATGAGATATGGTACGATTATGTAAAGAGATATGAAATAAGAGGAAGACGGGTTGTTAGAGAAAAAAAAAAGATGATATCTGGGATTCAACTAAAACTAGACTGGATCAAAGCATAGAAATGATTCCATTCTAATGGATCGGAGTTTAAGATCAATATTTATTTTGAATTAGTAGTTTGCTGTCAGGCTTGTTACTGTTTCCTTGTGTTGATACCATTTTATGGGTAGGTAATAAATATGCAACTTATAGAAAGTTTAAATGCAATTTAATATCGCCTATGCGAATTTGTGTACTTAAATTAAAATATTGTAATTTTTATATAGTGTGTGTGTAATTTTAACAATATATCAAAATATTTACTACTCTTTACTTTCACAGTAGATTTATTTTGAATTTGTTTTATATTCAAGGTGGTTATATTTTATGCTATCTTTTGCTATAATGTATTTAATATATTGTATATTAAAAATTCAACTGACATTTAAATCATGCATTTAGTGCGAGTAATATTTTGAGTCGGTTAAATTTGGCCCAATCATTTTATTTTAAATTTAGTTTTTTTAATGTAATTTGTTACTCTATATTTACTCGAAACAATATGTTGTTTTTTACTTCAAGTAAAATAAAATAGGTTTCACAAAATAACTATTTGCAACTTTTAATATGTATTTATTTCCACTAGATAAAATAATATGAAATGAAAATAATAATGTATAACTACAAAACCTAAATTCAGAGTAATTGATAAGCAGTAGCGTAACTACATTTTTTAGGCCCAAAAGCAAATTCTAACTAAGGGCATCCTATGGTACTAACATTTTTTTATACACTTTACACGAGAAAGTGTAAAAAGGGTATATTAGGCTTGTCAAGATTTTCGTAACGCATTAAAAGAAACGTCGAAAATACCAAAGTATATATCAGTATATGTATATAGGTATATACCTTTTCAGTTCAAACTACTCTGTCAGCTTTGAACTCTTCGAATGAAACTTTACACACATATTTTTCGGGAGCGGACCCTGTTCACAATTTGATTTGATTGAAATTGGCCTACTAATTCTTATAGATGTATGTATTTTTATTTTTCCTGACAAATTTTTCCAATCCCGAAATCCAGAACACCATTGATTTGTTTGATTAGAAAATAACCAGCACGGCTTACAATATACTGAATCCAATAACTTTAAATAGTATAACCAAAGTCGTGGCTCTGTTTCATATTTTGTTTTTAAATTATAGTATGAAGGATTGAAACTTCTATTTTCTTGAATAGGATCCTTCGGAAATGGCCCTTGTAATTTCTGATGGTCGGAAGAATTATTAATTAATAAGCGTTTAATATCATCAGTAATTTTGACATTAATAAAGTGGCCAATATCAGTTGATTTGCTTATTGTTTCATCAATGATTTTGAAGTCTGTTTCAGTATTTGAACAATGGTCAATTTATTCTGTGTATTACAATTAGAAAAGACATCATTTCAATCGTTTACTTCTTCACTTTTGTTTTCATTTATTTTTAAAAAATTGTCTAGTTTTGGTAATTTCTTTAATGTTTCTTCTCGTTCGTTTTGCTCTTTTCTTTTCTTGGCTCCACTTAAATGTCAACACAAAGAAATTTTTAAAGGTTTTGTTCAAAAACCAAAATTTATGATATTTCAACAAAAAACGTTTCGTCCCGCTTTTGAGAATTTATTAAAAATATATATAATGAATACATAAATTTATAATGGGGCCCCCTAAATTCGGGGGCCCGAAAGCGTTGCTTCCAGTCGCTTCGCTGTAGTTACGCCACTGTTGATAAGCCAATTATTGTTATATGTATATATATATATTAATATATATATTTTTTTGAGGCTCTCTTATTTCTATGAGTGCTTGTAATTACTGTAAAGTAGATAATTTGTGTTTTATTGTTTCATTTTAAAAACTAATATTAGATCAAATTAAAACTGATTAGCAAAAAATATTTAAAATTTCTATTTTATTTTTAATTATTTAAAAAAAAGTACTCTACTAATCAAAATCGAATACTTTGAGTCTCATATTGATCTTTGCAATACAAAGCGTGTTTTCGACTTATGGAAAAAATATTTATTTTCTCCAATAAGTACAATATAACATATTAAAAAGATGAGCGGGCTTGTTTTCTTAATATTGACCAAGATCCAGAGTAGTTCAAAGTTCTCTATCTGAAGAAAAACCTGTAGTCAAAAAAGCAAAACATCTCAAAATATGGTTTATCCGCAGGTATAATTATATGTTAACTTTCAGACACTTGAAAAGAATGGATATGGATCCCTTGATATCTGCTGCTTAAACTCAGAGTAGCCTTTCAGTTAGCAATTAGATGAAAGGCATTTACAGCTTTTTGATAATAGATTTTAAACATTTGTTAGAATGACTAAAACTAGTTATCTACATCATACAGCTGCCATATAAGTCAAAGCGTTAGAACCAATACGATAAATTTCATTTAACATGCTTTCAATTTCAATATAAGGAGGTTTTCTTTTCACAGGAATGCTTCAATAGAACAACTTCTGGTTGCTTAGGAATAACTTGGCATCACTGCCTAAGTCATGAAAAATTAAACAAGTTAGTAAATAAAATTAAATACAATTAATATAAATAAAAAAGTATTATATAATTTATATGTATATCAAAGCTGTATATCAAAGACTTATTATTGAACTTAATATATTCTGTAGGAACTGACTATACACATAGTTGCAATAGTAGAAAGAAGTATATGAACGTAAAATGACAACCTTCTTCAGTATATATAGTTCTAATTAATAAAGTACTGATATAAGTTCATCATGGTTGTCATGGTTAATATTGCTGAGTGTTTGGATTAGATTTTGCTTCATCAAATTTAACCATATTTGAATTGTGAAATTTTAATACCCTAAGCACATTCAGTTTAATTTATTATTAATTATTATTTCAACAACTATTTTAGATATTTTAATATTTAAAAAGACATATCAAATCTTTTGTTATTTCAGTAGAATTAAAAATTATTATGTTTGTATGTATAACACATATAACAATTTAATGAATGAAGTATTGAAGTATTGGTTATCCACTTTTTTGCACCATAACTTATAGTTACAAAAGTATCTATTTTTTTTAAATTCTATTACTTCAGTGTTGAAGTTATCATTTTCTCTATGTAATTTATAATTATTTATAATTTTATAGAAATTTATAGACATTCTCTAAAACATTTAAAATTTGCAACAAAATATTTCAATAAAAATTTTCAGCTTACAATGTCACATTAAAACGATTATTTAATTAATAATATTACAAAAATTCACACTCACGATTAAGTATCTTTATTGTTTATCGTCTTCTCTAAAACTATAATGCACATGCGACATATTTCACATATCAATGTGAAGTTCGCTTGCACTGCATTTTTTCAAACAATGCCTCATCGGTTTTGTAACCTACTTATAATTACATAGCTAACATAGCAAAAAACAATATAGAGATATAGAGTTTGACTTTGTATTAGCTTTAAGTACCCTTCACACAAATTTATTGAGAACTATCAGAAATAATATTTAGAAACAGATTTCCATTAATGAAAGCTTATATATCAAAACCTTTCATGTATATAACAGCTGGTTTCGATTCAGTTGGAATCAGTGACCAGAGTATCTAGAAGTATATTTTGGATGCAGTATTTAAATGAGAATAAAGCTATCAGTAACAATAAATTCAATATTGCTTGATAGGTCAAGATTATTCGACTTATTTTAAATATAATATGAGTTGGTTACTTAAACTATTTAGAACATAGCTTTTGCCTTAATATATGAGTTTTTATATGAAACTTTTTATTAAATACATTTTTTAAAAATGTGTGAAAAAGCTACAAATATTTATTATCTTACTACTGTTTTATTATTATTTCATTATTAATTCTTTAGTTGAGTTTACTGTTTTTATAGGTTCGTCAAAGGTACGTAAATTTCGAAACCTTATAATAACGGATGTAACGTTAGATCATTATAAAGTCTGAATGTTTATGTATAATATATTTTGATTGAAT